AATGTTCTATGCCTGCAATAAAGCAGTTACATTTGATACGGTACTGCTAATGACAATATTTGATCCTTAGCAACGGTATCGCAGGCAGCTCCAAAATATGTTTCATAAAAGAGGCTTTCTGAAGATCCAAGTATGAACAGAGGCAGCGGTCTACAATACATGTATGAACAGAGGCCTTGGATACCTTGATCTACACCGCCTCTCTCAAATGATAGTGATTCAATGCTAATCTAAAATGACAAACAATCGCACCCCTGGTACAATTCAACCTCTGGACTTCTACCCTGGACCAATAACTTATGGAGAGTTGGTTTGAATTGAAACATTTCTTAAGTTAAACCATGTGAATCTTCATGTAATAATAATAATAATAATAATCTATAATAATAATACGCTAAGGCTCCGCGGGGGGCGCGACGTCTCGGCGAGCCTTTGTATTCTATTGTTTTTTAATGAGATCGCCGACCCAAGTTGGTGCGGCTATCTCCTCCTGAACCCTCCCCTCGGGGTACCCGTGCCCGGTGCCATCGTCCGCGGGAGAGTCTACTCTAGCGAATTGGCTATACTCCGCCCGAGGTCCTCCTCCGTGTCGACGTCCAGGGCGAAAACAGACGCGACATGCATAATGCAGGATATGCGTGACGACGTACAGAGACACCTCATGGATATTCAACATGACATCCGTAGACACACGACCGATGACCATCCACTCACATTAAGTTGCGTATTAAATGCACTATGCACAGGGTCGGGCACAAGCCACAGAGATACACACGAAGCTTCCCGTCCACGTCCAAACTTAGAGACCTATTTCCATCATTATTGCCGCGATTTGTATATAGTTTTCGTGAATGTAGGTATGAAATGAAAGCTTATTTTGTGATTATTACGGCAATGTATACTAAAATTTGATTATCATTTTCTAAAGGAAAGTTTTCCCAAGAAAACCATTGGACTGACAGTTCCGTCGCAAGCTGCCTTCAGTCAACACAAAGTGCAGTGCTGATGTGTAGTGTGTGTGAGTTGCGATGAGCTTGCAGTAAGCTCCAACACCGCGCACCGTAGGCGTCCGACGCCTGCGGCGCCGGTGTTGAGCTTAAGGAGTTACGCTGCAGTGTGTGTGAGTTCACCTAAGCTTGAGTCGAAGAGATTTGACACTTTGAAATTGTTATCTGTTGGTTTGCATCATTATTGCCGCGATTTTAATATAGTTTCGTGAATAGATTTACGAAACCTGAGCTTAGAATTAGTAAAAGTATTACTAATGTCTACGTTTTTAAACGACTGTCAGAATTTCTTGTGAAAATTTTACTTTGAAAAATGATTATCGAAATTAATGGTCAGAAATATTCACAATCTAGGTTCTATTATGTTAAAGTTCTTGCATCAAATCAATGCATGAAAACTTAGTTATTGAACTAGAAAAATGTTTTGTTTTTTTAAATAGGCAATTATGAAGAAGGAAACCTGAAACCCTGAGTTGAGTGTATATTTGTTTCAAGGGGCCATAAACCCCCAAAAGCTCGGGGGTTACGTTCTTCAAAGTTGGGGGGGGGGGGGGGGAGATCAGATCGCAGCGAGTTGAGTGTATATACAATATAGGCGTGGGGTCCACGGGTTTCAAGGGGCCATAAACCCCCGAAAGCTCGGGGTTTTAGGCGTTTAATTAGGGTCAGATGAGCATATTTTTAATACTTTATTTGTGACACTCGGGGTCACTAATTGGCGAGGGGTCAATACGTAGAGTTGCGTAGTGTTGCTACCAACTACGCTGGCCTACGTTACTATATGCTGAGGGACAGAAAGGGGTACGCAAGATGAACGAAAACAAGTCAACATGTTTAATTTTTTTCGCGTACTTTCAGCGTAGAAACTTGACGCAGAAAGTACGCCTTTTTACGCAACACTATGCTACCCTACGCCAGATCGTCAAAGCAGTAAAAGCTTTCCACACAGTAAGCAACCATATAAGCAAACCTGTACTCCAGCCTACGCATAACCTACGCAGGGACTATTTTCCCATTAATACGCAGCCTAATTTCTGCGTAGTCGGTACGCCACACTACGGAACTCTACGCAGTTCCAGTGGCTTAAAGAATAACTACCGGTACAGTTGGATCGTTTTTTTTTTTTTTTATATAAGGCCAAATTTAAAAAAAAACATGTTTAGCGTCCTGTTTTTTCTGAAAAATGGGAAGGAGGAGGCCCCTTTTTTTTTTTTTCTTTCAAAATGGCTGCTCCGTACATTTTCCCTGACATTCAGGCTTTTTTTCAAGATGGCAGCCGACAATTTTTTTCTTTTCTTTTTTAAGATCAGAAATACATTTTAGCAGTGCTTTTCATGTTTTTTTTCTTTAAAAAAAAAAAAAAAAAATCAAAAAAAAAAAAAAAAAAATTAAAAAAAAAAAAAAAAAAAATAGGAGAGGCGGCCCCCAGAAAGGAAGCGGGTGGGGACGCTGTTTTTTTTCTATCAAAAAATTCAAAAAAAAAAAAAATTCAAAAAAATTTCAAAAAAAAAAAAATAGGAGGCGGCCCCCAAAAAGGAAGCGGGCGGGGAAGCTGTTTAAAAAAAAAAAAAAAATATAGGAGGTGGCCCCCAAAAAGGAAGCGGGCGGGGACGCTAAACATGTATATTTTTTTAATGGCCTGAATGGCAAATAAAGTTCTTGGTGGTTTTAATTTAGACAGTCTCTATATATCTATTTACACCCCCCGCCCCCCTCTAGAATCCCGCGGATTTCCGCGGGTCCTGCTAGTAATAATAATAATAGCCTAATAGTCCACTCCAAATTTTATTAAACCGAAACGGAAATTCTTTTTGCCCAATTGATCGTGAGCCCGGCAGCCACTGAGCAGCGCCAGATCGATGTTGCTCTATCCCTTAGTGTTGAACGCCAAACAAGGTAGCAACAACTCCCATCTTTTAACGTCTTTTGGTATGACGCGGCCGGGGTTCGAACCCACGACCTCCCGGTTGTGAGGCGGACGCTCTACTGACTGAGCCAACACTCCGGTAATAATACATTAGACAGATAAAATCATGAAGGTTTCAAGATATACATGCCTTTGAAAGCCGGAAGGGCAATAGAAGTTTGAACAGTTTGGTGTCTTAGAAACAAACATTTCATGATCCATGTTATGATCATGTTGCATTACAAGAGGAAAACTCAACCATGATTTTTTACAGATAAAGATATCCGCTGAGAGCAAGAAGGACATTACTTCATTTCAGAGGATACAATTCAACACTTCATGTCTCTCAGAGTATGAGAGCCAGAAGGATGTTAGCTCTGTGTTATAGGATATGAGTTAACACATTTATGGCTCTATGTAATCATATAATATTGACTGGTGAAAGCAAAAAGGGCATTAAGTTCATGTTAAAGGATATGAGTTAACACATTTACGGATCACAGGCTATCAAAACCACGGACATCCTTATATGTCATTGGTGTTTTCCTTTGATTCTTTGTTATCATGGTAACAAAATAATCTATCTCCACTGAAACAATGTGGAATTGATTATGATCTCATGTTCAAAACAATAAACATTCGTGACTTCTTCATCCTGAGGACTTATTACAAAACAAACATTTCCAAAGAAATATTCCATTCTTTAAGGCCTCTTTCTAATTCAGAAAACCATGGGCAGATTTAAGCAATCATGATGGAAATGCTGTAAAAGGAGAATAAATAAAAATCATATTTGTTCTCAATTATATTTTGAGTTCTAAATGCCTCGAAGCATGCCAGGTTTCCCTTTGGGCTGTCTTGGTTAGAGCTGTTACAAGGCTATAGGCATTTCCCAAATTTCGTCAAAATTTACATGAGAGTATGCTTCACAAGTCATGTCCTCTGCTGAGAGATTGAAGGAAGGAGCTACGTCAACTTCCACAAAAAATTAAAGGTAAAGACCAGCTATGGTCATGCGATTGCATTGTGAAAGAAACGTTGTGGAATCGCTCAGAAAAGGTTGATCATCTAGCATCTAGCATCTGCAAGGTTCTGGAATCATCAAAATGATAGCAAATTTGGCCCATTCTTCGTAAAGTTACAAGCACTATACACAGAAAGATGTATATGGGACTACCCTATATCTCTCACAGACCATGAGAGAAACAAATTTACCAAATATATGAATTAGTAGGCTGTTTCCCGGCAAATTTGTTATCATCATGTATTAGTCAAAACATATTCTTTCACATGTTTGGTAATGAGAGCTTCCATTTCATTTTTTGAAATTGGGGCGTTTCCAATACTGGTCTTTACCTTTAACATCCTTCTGCCTCTCAACAGCCTACATGCTTCTCTTTAAACCTGGAATGGTATCAAGCTAATATACACCAAGAAAGAAGTACAACGTAACTTTGTTATTGACAGGAGAGTGGAGCAAAATGTTCTTGAAACAACCCAAAAAAGACGCATGGGACAGTCTACCCTTTTCAGTCCTACAAACCAGGAGGCCCAATGGGTCAGTGGTAGAGCATTGGTCCCGGGTTTTGAAACCAAGTTGATGTGCTAGTGCCCTTTGGTAAGGCATTAATCCTCATTACCAAGTTCCTCGGAAAGGACTTAAAGCTATCAGTCACCCGATTGTTTACTTACACATGCTTTCTTAGCAGTCAGGCAAAACAAACCAACAAACTAGATCTACATTCCACTGATCCAAATCAATTGGTCCTAATTTTTGTTAAACATGTACTGTACATAATTGTGTAACGTCCATTGGCACGATGAAACTCACTAGGGAAAAGGACCGGTTGATATACAGTAGTCAATGCGAATGAAAACTTTAAAAAATGTCCCACTGGCCTGAATCATAGGACCAATGGATGTAGGACCAATGGACATAGGACCACCGGACGTTGGACCAGCGAACTTATAGGAACAATGGATGTAGGACTGATGGATAAAGGACCAATGGATGAAGGACCAATGGATGTAGGACCAGCGGGGAGGGGGACCAGTGAGACATACTAATTTCCTCATGAGATACATACCTTCCACATTCCTCTATATCTTCCTTTGTAGGTCTGAAGGGTTGCTGACGTGGTGGTTCTACAAATTTACCTACGCTCTTTGTCCGCTTCAGAGCCTTTTTCATACGATTCGGGATACCCTGTAATGGAGAGAAACAAAATGGGCAAATGTAAAATAAAAATCTCTAAACCATTAAAATTATGTAAATATATGATGCTTTATAAATGATATAAATATCAATGTCATCCTTAACATATAGGTAAATCTGAAATGACACCGTAAAGGGGAAGTCCACCCTGATGTTAAGTTGATTTTAATACAAGCAGAAAAGTGATATGTCTCTATGCGCTTCCAAAGGACTTTGGATATTGTATGTAACATATTGTGTTTCTTGATAATGCACTTTACAATATTTCTTCTGGTGTGAAAGCACCCAAAGTAAAAAATTTCTTGTAAATTAGCTCTTATGAGTTCTTTATACAATTTTCTCTCCTGTGTGAATGAAACCCATAGCCAAAGATGTGTAATTCCTAGCTGTGAGTTGGCTCTCATGTCCCCTGGTAACTGAGCTTCATCCATTATTTGCTCTCATAAAAAATGCAACAGATTCAAGTGCATTGCTTGGCCAAGGGCAGATCAGATGTAATAGGACACAGAGGTGCTGTAGGGGAACATATGCTTGGCAAATATGGTGCCGACGGGTTGGTTTCTATGTCAGTTCAATCATTCAAATAATTCAAGTACAACGGTTTGGAAATTCCAAAGCCCTTTAAAGATACATAAGCTATTATATTAGGTTATTTCTGCTGACAATTATGACTCTGATACACATAACTTCAATCAATATAATAATATTCATAAATAAAGAACTATTTTGCAAGTGTTGTCATTACCACCATCTCTATCACCACTACCTTCGTCATTATCATCACCACCACCATCATCATCATCATTATCTTCATCAACATCATCATCATCATCATCTTCATCATCATCATCATCTTCATCATTATTATCATCATCATCATCATCATCATCTCCATCATCATCATTATCATCATCATCATCATCATCATCATCATCACCATCATCATCATCATCATCATCATCATCATCATCATCACCATCACCATCACCATCACCATCACCATCATCATCATCACCATCATCATCACCATCACCATCACCATCACCGTCATAATCACAATTAGCCACTATAGCCATGAATGATCAATAATCTGTTATCAATACCACCACTACATTATAATGACCATCTTTTATGTACACTGTACTGATCATTCAACTTTCTGTGCCACAAAAGAACACAACAATGTCAGACTACGCATTTACATGTACCAAGATATCAAGAGATTTGTACCAATCTTGAAAACATTAATATACTCAAATGGAGTAAAGATTACAAAGGACTAAAGATTGTGCAAAGAGAATACAAGTTGTGGGTTTGTCCAAGGAGTTCTTACTCCTTGGTTGTCTAAACACAGCCAGTGCGCCTGCTTGCTGGCTGTGGCATTACATTGATTTATTACAGCAATAATAGAGCTTTGTTTCCAAACAACTTTTGTCTCATGTTCGATTCCCTGTCTGCTTTATAGCCCTCATTTCAAAAGTACACTTCAAAATGATGTCATAAATCAAGATATTTCTTGTTTTGAAAGGGTATTGATTTCTCATCACCCTTTGTTCTGGAGCCAGACAATTATTCAAAATGTCACAGAAGTGTCCCGGAAGTGTCATCAAAAGAATATAGCATTAGGAAAATAAAGTAGTATGATATGTGTGTATTAGTTCTACTCTGTGATGAGGTTTATACATGTGTATGATATTATTATATTCAACTATAATATAAAATATAATGCACTGAAATTTGAAGATTATCTACAATGTATATAATTATTCCACATTTATATATAGTGTTACATCAGGTTTAATAATTAAAAAAAAAAAAAAAATAGAACAGATTGAAATTTGTAAAAATTTACTGAATTCCACATGAATGTGTTAACAATATGTTGACCAGACTGTATAGATTTCCATCTTGATTTTCAGATTGATAATGATATAACTTTCACACACTTGAATGCCTCATGCTTGATTCACTCACATACCATACAAAGCCTATAGGCGTACTCTAAAACATGGGAGACCATACACACCTGCCATTAGAATAGCACATAAACCCTGACAATACATTAGTCATTCCAAATAATTATATGAAAAATTAATGACCTGTGAAACTGAAAGTGCAATCAATATAAGAATAGTGAACAAGAAAACTTACCACATAGGAATCATCCTTACTTCCTTGCCTAATCGGATACATCTTGGAATTTTTCCAAGAGACTAATTTTCTGACACAGCTGGTATGTTTGTTCACACCCTTTTAAAATAAGCTAACAATGTATCGAGCTCTAGATCCAATGTTCATCAAATTTGCCTCAAATTTTTCCAAAGAGAATAATTTTCTGACACAGCCGCTGTAATGTTGTACTCACGCAACTGTAAATAACGTTACAATGTATTAAGTAGTAGATTCCATGTACATGAAATTGGCCTCGCCTACGCACAGGCTAAAGGCCACATTGTGTCTAATTATTAAACAATATGGCCTAGCTTCGATGGGAATCACAATTCAGGCAGTATGGGACATCCGGTAGAACATTCTCGCTAGTCATACATGTCACGTTTTGCTTCAAGAACCCGACGACACCTGACATCTTGAATGCTAGAAGAATCGAGCAAGATGGTTTGTTGGCAAGACTCGCTTGCATCAACCTCGAAAGTACTACCACCTTGCTAGGGGAAGAGGGAAAACAAAAACGACGTTGTGTTTTTAATGTCATTAAAGAGCGTCAGAACGTTTCATCATGACAAGCGAAGTTAGACGAACCATGCAGTAACATCCACAACAAAACTGATGACATTTCAGAACGAAGGATCTTTTCGCAAAGGTTTTTTGTGGCTGATTGATGACGAAATGATTAATAATTCAGGCCTTTCTGCGATCACTGTACTTTGGAGTTATAAAGGTGTAGCTTCACTAGCTTGTGTGCCAGCTGCTGACTAGACTTTCTTCAAGACTAGGTCACCAAAAAATCTAGTTTTTAAATACTATTTAAAATCCGTATCAGATGAAGTAATTCAACAACAGTATTGACAACACCTGTAAGGCAGTCTTTCCTCTTACAATGTTTTATTTTCTTCTCTATCTTCTGCACAAGAACTTCTCGTTATGATAATTCAATTGAACGACTGGAAACTTCATCAAATTCATCTACGCCATGAACCTAATCCTCCTTTAATCTTCCGCATAACAAAGTATCAGAATAATGGATGAATGATGGTAGAGAATAAGGCAACCCTCAAGCAGACTCTCCGAATGATATACAGGAATCATCAACAAATGAATTCTAATAACTCATATCTCTGGTCTTGACTTCTGTCTGCACCAACTCTCCCACATATGTCTCTGTCAAATGCTAGATCCCTGTATGCAATACATACATGTAGCTACAGTTGGTACACACAATTTTAGCTTGTAGGTATATAGTTAGCTTGGCTGCTGCTGCTCTAAATCTGTTCTTAAATTCAGGAAAACCCTCTGGTTTTTATGACTTATAACAGGATGCATTGATAGCTACTGGGTTCCAAAAACTTGGTCAATTAGCCTTTGTATCTGTGAATTCCTGCAAAGCACAACACAAACGGTTCCTGTTGTTGGTTTTTGAGGCGTAGGTGTCCTTTTTAGGGTCATATTGTTCGTCCAAGTGATGTAATATAATAACTATTTAGGGGAAAAATCTCACGAGGGGGTCAAGCTGAACTGAACTTTTTGCAAATATAAGCTTCAAAGTAACTGGACTTTCTTGTAATGACAGGGGCTCAGCCTTTAGATGGAGCAGGAGGGACGTTACTGTATTAAATGCTACTTGAGGTGCTGTAAAATGATTTTCAGCAGGGGGGGGGGGGGGGCTGGGGGTGAGAACAATTAGCAAAGTGCCCATGGGCCCATCATGGGCATTAGCTTGCTTGAGAACAAAATGGGGTTAATTGACCCCCCCCCCCCCGCCCCTTACATGCCACAGACACAGAGACTATATGTGGCATAAATACAAGGGAGGGGGGGGGGGGTGTTGCTATATTAAATGTGTCGCAACTCCAGTTCCTGGAAATGAGCAAAGTGTGTGCCCACTAATGCACAGTTTGATAAATACCTTACACCCCCCCCCCCTTTCATAAGCCACATGCACTTTGAGTCGTAGATGTATGTGTCACTAGTTTAAATCAGATGGGGTGAGGGACTTGATCTATAAACAAAAAAGATATATCAAATGTATGTATCCCACATTACAGGGGGTAGCCCCCACATTACAGGGGGTAGCCCCCACATCCCATGGCTACGCCCATCATCCATTCTCATATCCTGACATAGTGTCACTTGACATCACTTCCTTTCTTTCTTGGGCTTAGTCCAGGAAGTGGTTTCTTCCATTCCCTGCATCCGTGGAGAACCAGTGGCCATGATGGTTTGGATCATGATCAACTAGGAGTCCAAGAGAAATCAAATATCATCCTCTCTATTCCATGCTCAAATAATTACATTGCTTTAGAATTTAAAGCCAAGTCATTGAATAAAATTTGTATGATCCTCACACAGGCTAGATATGGAAGAAATACCTATTCACATAAAAAAAATTGACAAAATTTGTGTTTCAGGTTCAGATTCATAGAAACAGACACAAATATCAACCTGACTTATCCTGCAAATCCTTGACAAGTTCACAGACTTTCATTAAATCTCTATAACAAATTGTATACCGAGAGCATTGAGGGCGGTATAAATCAATTGATACGAGTCACAAGGACTTCTGGTCCTCAAGAAACAAAATAAGTATTCAGGAATTATACTTGAAACCATCCACCATATATCACACGAGACATAACATATCCAAAGTAAAGTCATTATCATGGCATCAGTATATAGCTCATTTAGGTCTGCACTTACAGTTCTATGCTCATGCTGTTTTTTGACATTACTGTAAATAATACTTTTGTTTAAGAGAGGTTTTTTTTTCTTCTTCAATCAGCTACAGAAAGTTAAGATTTCCATGTATGTTTAAT